TAACTCTGCGATAGTCCTCACTGCATTGGGTTAATACACCTATGTTATTCTTCTTTGGCTTAATTACGTATGATTTAGCATCAATTACTTTATCTATTATCTGTTGAAGTAGGGCCACAGACTTGATGTTTGGACACCATATGGGGGGCGGACGAGGTTTCGGTGTAGTTTGCTGGTCGGTCAATACTGGGGCTTCTGGAGCTACAGGTGATTCGCTGTAGTCTTCATCTTCTTCTACGAGCAGTGAAAATCGATTTTCTGATATTAATGCTGCATTGCTGGTGCTTGGTTCGTCGAAGATGAGCCTTTTCTTGATGGTTTTTGGTGAATTTGGCTGTTTACGTTTCGTGTTTTTGTTGTTAGTGATGCCTTGCACGGAGGCGATATCTATTTTTGAGTTTATTGGCATGATGGAGGCTTGCCTATTTGCCATCACAACGTTAAGCTGGGCTTGCATTTCTGCATTTACCTTTACAGCTGTAGCGAGGTTATTGACATTAGATGTCATCGCGGATTGTGCTTTTGAGTGCAGGCGCACTCGCGCCAAGCGACGAAATTTCGTAAATTGCAATTAAAGCAATTGAGTTACGCGGAAGCAAGCGATAAGAAAACGCTGCGTGTGCGGTTTTTGTTGCTGTTGCGTTGAAGAATGCACCGCAAAGTTCTATTTTTAGAACTCTGCAGCAGTAGAGCTTAAGCGAAGGCTGTTCGAATTCACGTCTTTACAGGTCGAACGACTGATCGCGATTGTGATTCATTGAGACTACTTAACAGATATGCGTAGATTTCCTAGATAGTGCAATAGACGCAAGGCCACCCAGTGATCCCTGACTCCGCTAGCTGGTACGAGCCAGACGGCAAGCGGCACATATACATTTATATATTTGGGAGCGGACATTTGATGGCCTTTGTTGCAGTTATCAGCATATATATAATTATATATATATATATTTATATATATATAAATATATATTTATATATATGCATGCATATAGGTAGTATATGGGCTGCGGTTAGTACAGTTTGCGTTGCCTATCGCGCACTTGTCCTTGAATCGAAATATCGCCATTTGGTTTTTATTGTTATTGTTGTTGCATTTTGTTTCGTTTCGCAACGCTTCCCCATTGCAATTTGATAAAGATCGATGCAGCGGCGTTGACGGCGTTGCGGAAGTTTTTCACAGTCTAGAATAACAAAATTATTATGAGCACTGCATCAATGCTTGGACGACAATTCATACATATAGAAATGCATATGCATATATACCTATTTTAAATACATATATGCAATATGTATTAGAGCATTGTCGGGAGCAGCACACACGGCGTATGCGCAATGTGCAAAGCTTATCAAAATTCAAATGCACTCGGAGACGATGCCGATGATGATGACGTTGGCAACGTCAGCGGGTCGTCTGCGTTCAAGTTGAATGTTAAACTCAATGCAGGCAAGCGAATCGTTGCCGTTGACAATTTTCAAACGGTTGACTATAAAACCGAACTCAAAATGGGGTATATTGAGGACTTGGGTGAGCAGGTAACGGCCAAGCAGTGGGAATATATAAGGCAGCAAGAATAGCATGTTAGCTCGAGAAAATAGTTTCTATTGATCAAATTTAATTATACGAGATTAAATTGAGGCTTTTCTTAATTTCTAATATCTTTTTAGATTTTAAACATTTTGCTTAGAATTTCTAAATTAGTTTCTTCTATGCCTTCTCTGTTTCATTCCCAATAACTAAAGGGTATTCGCTGCCTCGCCTTCCATGTAGAGCACGAAATGCGTTCGTGCGGCTGAGTGTGTGTGTGCCACTTATTTATTTTTAATTTGCTGCGCCACTCTAAGTAAATTTTTCGAACAATTCGCGCTGGCCACGCCTCCCCTCGAGCTGCCCTAACGCTCAGTGCTCTCGTGTCCTTCAAATGCAATTGTGCGATGATTAGAAACGCAAAGCGTTGAGCTTTCTACTTTTTGTTTCTAATGCGGGCAACTCATTATAAATACATACACACACACATACATACACACATGTGTGTAGGTGTGCAGCTGTTTATTTTCATTTTCATAGCGATAGCGTAAAGCTTTTGGCGCACTATCTGCACACACACATAGACAACTTTATTATTATTTTTATGTATATATAATATGCATTTGTAATGATTTCCTAGGCGGCAGAAGGCATCTGTTCTATGTTAAGATGCGTTAGAATGCATTGGCATTATCCAATTTTGGTTAGCGTTCAGCGAAAGTAGCTGTAGAAAGAAAAACCCTTATAGCCGGCCGGGCCAAAATACAAAATCGAAAGTACCTAAAATAAGAAAAGAATAAATAAGAGAAGTGTTAAAAGAAAAACGAGAACAACTGTCTGTATTCCTCAGCTGGCGCCCAGTTGCCAAGCTGCACACACACACACACACATGCACATATACACGAACACACTCACACACACGCACGCTTAGCTAGCCAAAAGTGTTCGCACATTTCCGCACTCATCAAAATAGAATCGAAGTGCAATTTTACAATTGCAATTGCAATTGCAAGTGCAAGTGCAACAAGGCGGCAAAACACAGACACAAACACACACATAAAGATACAGTATCTGTAGCTGCTGCTGTATCTGTGTATATGCATCCGTGTTGTTGCCGCCATTGCCATTTGCCAAAGTCTGGGCAAAAAGTTCTCATTTATGCTGCACGTCGCCGCAGTTCGCATTCTACGTGCGTGTAGCTCACAGATTTAGTTACGGCAAAAGAACCAAAAAAAAACTAGACGAAAATTGTAAATTAAGGCAATGTCAATACACTGCAACTCTTGGGTGAGTGTTGTTGATTATTAAAAAATATATATGATTACGATTACGAAAGCTTACACGAACTGCAAGTGCTCTGCAAACAACGAGCTCTTATCAAAAGCAACCAAATTCATTAGCTGATAGCACTCTAATTGCACATAAAAACAAGGAAGACAATTTCGCTTTATTTACATTGTTTATAGCTGTGTAAAAGTAAATCAAATCTAAGCTCTAAGGTTGCAGATTCTAATCAAATAAATTGGAAAAAATCTGTAAAATATTTTTAAAATATTTGAGTTATTATAAGTTCTCTTTCCAAACTCTGCAAAGCCTTTCCTTTGCTTTGCCTAGGCCGCAGAGCGATCCTAGCTTAATGTCTTTGGAATTTGATTGACACAAAGCTTGCAACATAATTGGATATCACGAATTCTATTTCTGTCAGCGTGCATCACACTTGTGGCATTGTCTGCCACTGACATTCTATTGACAACTCAAAAATATGCGGCTCATCAATATAGGAAGCTGCCGTCGTCAATCCCTCTAGCCTAGCCTAGCACAATATATTTATGATTGCGCAGCGGCGCAGCAAAACCAATGCCAAAACAAAGCCAACAACAGCAACAAACCAGGCAAAAAAGAGGCAGCAAATCAACGTTAGATGGCAACTAACGTTGGGAAGGCAGCAGCAGCAACAGCAACAGCAGCGACAGTCCCGGCGAAATGCAGTCGAAATGAATTCGCCAAGCAACTGCGAGAGCTTTTTGCATGACGCTCAAACGCGCAACCCTTGAGCAAACTTGAGCGTAAAACGGTTTTTGGCTGCGTTGGCGCCGCTGCAGCTGAGTGAGTGCATTGCCGGGCGGTCTCTCAGTTGACTGTGTGCAGCAACAACGGCGACGGCGACAGAGTGAGCTTTGAGCATGGCGCCTGTGCCGGTTGCATGTGCGAGTATATTGTGTATATGTGGGTCAGTAGTAGGAACACTCGGTTCGCGTCTGTGTGGATGGGCACAGCGTTCATTCTAAAAACTTTTGCACGACATTAGTTTAATAATTTTTAGTTTTATTTTATTATTATTTGATTTTGTTGCTCTTGTTGTTGTTGCCCTCCACTCTAGTTGATGTTGTTATTGTTATTGTTGTTGCTGCTGCTGCTGCCGCTATACATTTCCGCATAGTTGCATTTGCGAGCGCAATTTGTATTTTGCGAGCGGGCCCGAGAATCCAACGGGAAGACACAAAAATTTCTGATGTCGCTGCCGTGAGGTGGTTTCAGTGCAATCGGCTATGCGGTGCGGTCGGTCGGTTGTTCTCGCCAACGGTGTTATTTTTACCGGCGGTACGCAAAGCTTCAACAATAAACATTAGTCAAAAGTTCTACTAGTTGTTGAATATTTCTAAAAACCAAACGCAATTCAAAGCAAATTAAAAATAAAATTAATACAATTTGCTGCAAATATGCTGGTAGGCAGCAATGAAAGTGTTCGGCTGGTCAATGCGGCGTATGCGTAATATATCGAGCACGAAAAACCAGCAACGAAACAGAAAGTGATGCGTAATTTGCCAGCACGAAAAGTCAAAATAAAAAAGAAGCAATAAAAAATTAAATATTATTCAGTGTGCGAGAGCGGCAACAATAAAATTATATATAGAATTCGAGCGGCTCAATTAACAGGAATATATTAATTAACAATTTGTATTCGTTGAGAGAAAACTAACTGTCATTAATGAGAGCAAAAGCAAAACAAAACGAAAGTACAAACAAGAAGTTGGCCAAAAAAAAGAACAAAACCCCAACAGCCTCTCACGTGAGTGTCCAAATATTGAATGGGTTTTCCAATTGATAAGAAAATAGATTTTATGTATTCTCCTGGTGGCATTTGCTGCCAGCTGAAGTGGGAAGAGATTTGCCTCTGAATGCCCCTGAACGTGAACGCATAACCTCCATTAAGGCCGCAATCTTGAACTATGCAAACACACACGACAGCGACGAGTCGAAGCCACTCGACGCTCCGTCGTTAACGCTTTTGCCGCTATTTTACCCGATAACAACAACGACGATGACGACGACGCCATTGAAATACGAATGCAATACTGCAAGCACACACACACAAGCACACACACACATACACAGAGGCACACATAGAGAAATTTTTGAGTGTAGTTCTGAGTGAGTGGGCGAAGCTTTGCCTGTCGCACTGCCTAATAGTTTTGAGCGTGAGTGTAAGTGTGTGTGCGTGTGTGTGTGTGTGTGACGCATTTATTAATAGCACTGGCGAAAAAAAGTGAAAAGTGAAACAGTCATCCATAGCGCTATACTAACGCTCTACTTTCTGTCTCCCTTCCACACGTTATCTTTGCAGATCAAGTGAAACTTTAAATACAACAACAGCTAGCAGCCTAAGCACTACAACAACACAAAAGCGCACTTAAGCCTAGCATTAAGAAGCATTCTACAACAACAATTAGCTGTAAACTCAAAATGCATGGACACAATCATCATCAGCAGCAGCAGCAACAACAGCAGCAGCAGCAGCAGCAGCAGCAGGTGCCGCAGCAGCCACAACAAATGTCCGCCACAATGAAGCTGGCTGGCAACCCACATCCACAGCAGCAGCAGCAGCAACAAACACACATAGCCATACAGCAACAGCATCCACATCATCCACAGCATCCACAACATCCACAACATCCGCATCATCACGCAAAGCTGTTGCGACGCTCGCGCAGTCGCAGTCGCAGCCCCACGCCTGATGGCACACAGGATTATGATGTGACGCGCATGCGCGAGGAGGATTTCGAGCGTCTGGCCGTCTATCTGGTGCCCGATGTTCAGGCGGAACGCGGCCTGCCCAATCGAGCGGACAAGACGCTGCCGCGCAGCCTAACGCTCAAATCCTCCATGGTCTACTCAACGCCAAATGTAAAGGTGAGCAAAAGCTGCGCGAGCTAGAAAATATCAGAGCTAACTGTACCGTATCTCTCTCTCTCCCTCTCTTTCTCTCTTGCAGACTGAAGGAGTTTGGAGCAGCGGCGTCATACCGCGTGGCACACGCTTTGGCCCTTTCGAAGGCATTCCAACCTCTAACTATCCGAACGATAAGAACAAGGCGCGCTATTTCTGGCGGGTAAGCATATGCAATCATTTTAATGGGCTTTAACTGGTTTTTACTTTTTATTTTACAACTGATTATTTTATTAACAATTTGTTAACTTACAATTATTTTGCTGCATTTTGCTACCTATTTTATTTATAACAAATGAAAAAAAAAACAAAATGATCATCAAACAAGCCAAAACTATGCGACTAACCAACTGGTTTCTCTAAATTTTTAATTTCATGTACATAAAATCCAATTACTATACAAATATATATATGTATATATCATATATACAATTATAATCAACCAACTACCAATCAACCAATACCAAAACCAAACCAATATAAATTCCAAATTACAATTTTGCATTTTGTTGCGGATTTGAATTTGAATCAGGTGCAGGGAACACGCCACATAACCTACGGGAATATTAAGGTACCACTTTATGCTTTGTTTTATTTGTGACTCTTAACCATCAACCGCACTCTCTATCTATCTCTCGCTCGCTCGCTCGCTTACTTTCACGCTCTAACTGCACTCACTCTGCCACTCTCTTTCTCTCTCTCTCTCTGTCTGTCTCTATTGATGAGCAGGCGCTGCATTTGCTCTCTTTTGTAGCTTGCTTTCTGTGTTTGTTGTCGTTGCTTCCCGTTTCGAGTAATTTAAACCAATCAAATCATTCGTTTCTCCATATAGATATTCAAGGACGATGATTATTATTATCTGGATGGCTCGGATCGTTCGCAATCGAATTGGATGCGCTATGTGGCCTCGGCATACAGCTTATCGGTCATGAATCTGGTGGCGTGCCAGCATCAGGAGAACATCTATTTCTATACCACCCGCGACATATTGCCCAACGAGGAGCTGATGGTCTGGTACTGCAAAGACTTTGCCAGCCGTTTGGGCTACGATGTGGATCCCGAGCGCACCATATTCGGCGCCTGCAAGCAGGACGTCGATGTCGAGGAGGATGAGGATGATGAGCTGCCGCACAAGAAGCCGCATTATGCAATGGCCGCGCCCGAAATACCCGCCGAGGTGGCCGTTAGTCACATCACCTATGTGATGGGTCTGCATTTGCCAGGTGCGCCGCCAGCGGCAGCTGCGCCATCGCCCGCCGGCCAATGCTGTCGTCGTGCCAGTCCACCAGCCCATGTCAGCACCACCACCACCACCAGCAATAGCAACAATAACAACAACAGCAGCAGCGGCAACAACAACGGAAGCTCAAGCTCGTTGCATCCGCATATACAGCACGGCCGGCACGCGTCCGTCATCATTGGTCAGGATCGTTCGCCGCTGAACAGCAGCTGCGACAAAGAGACGGTAGGATCACCGCTGTGCGTCAAGGATGCTCATTATGAGCATCAGTTGACGCCGCAGGATGGCAGCGTGCGTTCGGTGCGATCCGATGAGGGCTACCACAGCAACGAGTGCCAGGAGGATGGCCTCACGCCACCGGAGGATTCCAGCGACAGCGAAAGCGAGCACAACTATGTGCTGGACTGCTCCAAGAAGGCCATTGCGCCCAAGGAGACGGTCATTGCGCAGGCGCAGAAGCCCAGCAGTGTCACACCGCCAGCCACCACGCCCACCGCCGCCACGCCAAGCTGTGAGGCCGATAAGAACGAATACCGCAAGTTCAAGGTGAAGATGCCGCTGAAGTACGAGTTCAAGAACAAGAGCTGTGTCAAAACGGAGCCACTGAAGGATGTGGATGAGCATCTGCCGTTAGCTGGTGTCAGCTTGGAGGAGGAGGATCTGCACGAGCTGCATGTAGCGGCGGCAGTGCATTCCGAGGACTCGCTGTGTCCACCCAGCACGACCACAACGCTCGGTGAGGAGCAGCATTTGCAGCATCTGGAGCCAACCAACACACAGCCCGCCTCCTCGACGGTCATTGTGCTGGAACACAATTCCGGTGGCCAGACGCGCACCATTGTGCCGCTGAGCAAGCCCTACTATGAGGCCGATCCGCCTGGTGAGCGCTATGTGCGCTTCACGCAGCCCAGTTCCAGCATACTGGAGACCATTTTAACCAGCCAGCATCGCTTGGAGGCAGCGGCCGCGGCAGCCAATGCTTGCCGGCAGGCGAATGCAGCAACGCCGCCGCCCACATCGCCCACGGAGATGGCGTACAGTTACAAGAAATCGCAGCGCTATGGCAATGCAGTTAGTCCCGATTCCAGCTCAAATCTGGGTCAGCCCCAGGAGCTGGCTGGTGGACATGTTGTGAGCGAGCAGGAGCTGGGCCTAAGCCGCAGTGCACTGATCAAAGGCGAGTGCTCGCCGCCACCTGCCGCCTCGCATCTACATCACAATGTCATCTACTCGCCCTCGAGGACTCACCATGCCGCCTACGAGCCGGGCAGCCATTCGCCCAGCTATGCTGGCTATGCGGGCTATCCGGGAGCGCAATCGTTGCATGCAGCCACCTCCACGTTCCACTCGCCGCCGCACAGCTCGCATTCGCCCTTCGACCGCCAGTCGAATGCGTCCAGTGGTGGAGGTTCCGCCTCCAATTTGCATCTGCTCCAGAGCAGCACGCAAATGCTTAACCATCCGCTGATGCAGCCGCTGACGCCGCTGCAACGTCTCTCCCCGCTTCGCATCTCGCCGCCCAGCAGTCTCAGCCCCGATGGCAACTCATGTCCGCGCAGCGGTAGCCCCTTGAGTCCCAATTCATTGGCCTCCCGCGGCTATCGCTCACTGCCATATCCGCTAAAGAAGAAGGATGGCAAGATGCACTATGAGTGCAATGTCTGCTGCAAGACCTTCGGCCAGCTGAGCAATCTCAAGGTGCATCTGCGCACTCACTCCGGCGAGCGGCCGTTCAAGTGCAACGTCTGCACCAAGAGCTTCACCCAGCTGGCGCATCTGCAGAAGCATCATCTGGTGCATACGGGCGAGAAACCACATCAGTGCGACATCTGCAAGAAGCGCTTCTCCAGCACGTCCAATCTGAAGACGCATCTGCGCCTGCACAGCGGCCAGAAGCCCTACGCCTGCGATCTCTGCCCGCAAAAGTTTACGCAGTTTGTCCATCTGAAGCTGCACAAGCGTCTGCACACGAATGATCGGCCCTATGTGTGCCAGGGCTGTGATAAGAAGTACATCAGCGCCTCCGGTCTGCGCACGCACTGGAAGACTACCAGCTGCAAGCCAAACAATCTGGAGGAGGAGCTGGCCATGGCGGCGGCAGCGACATCTGAGTGTTTGGGTAAGTTTTTCTGTTACAAATCGTCCTCTGACAGCTGCTCAAACAGATTTTCGATTTGCAGACAAAGATTTGCCTGAGCCGGACTCACGTGAGGCCTACGAGCAGCTGCAGCAGCACATGCATCCGGTGCATCCGAGCTTGCGTCATTTGACTGGCGCCCAGTCACCTCCGCGTCTCATTCCATTGGGCAGCAACGGACAGCCCCACATGCATATGCAGCAGCTGCAGGGACATCAGCCGCATCAGCCCAGCAATGCGCCGCCGGGACACCTAATGCTGCCGCAGCATTCGCCGCACAGCGGGCCGCCCATGCTGCTGACCACAGCCAATCAGCTGCCACCACCCACAGCGCCCCACCACATGCAACAGCAGCCGCCACAGGCTTCGCCCAACCGACAGCCGCCCACACATCAGCAACAGCAGCAGCAGCAGCATTTGGGACCGACTCATCATCTGGCGCAGCACTCGCCAAAGTCGCTGAAGCCGCTGCCCGATACGGGCTATATGCATGGGCCACATGTCCAGGCGCAGGAGAATCGACCCTCGGTCATCGAGTCCTCCAGCCAGCCGATGATAATTAAGTGCACGTAGAGCGAGCGGGGCCACATTCAAAAACTGTAAATTGAAGTGCAATATACAACAACACGTAGAAGTTAAGATCAAGAGAGAAACCAACCCGAACGGAAGCGGACAGACGTTACCTAACTGCAGCACAAGCATACATAACGGTATTATTATTAGATTGTACATAGGCAGGCGGGCCCAAAAAACAAAACAACACAACAAAAAAACAAACAAAAAACCACTCAAAATTGATTCAAAGCAAAAACAAAAACTCATTTCGCGCTATGAAATAAAAGAAGATCTCAACAATTGGCAGTACCCAGAAAGTCTAATAAAATATAATACATCAAAAACACTGCATATTATTTTTGATAAATATTTTATATTGAAACAACAAACGGAAATTCAGAGACAGAGAATTGTTAATAAACAAATTTGAATTTCGAGTGAAAATGGAAATGAAAATGAAAATGGAAAAATGCATTTAATTTAATTTTGTTTTGAGTTTGAGGCGCGCTTAGTTGTAAATATCAAGTACAGTTATGCATAAAAGTAAACATACACACATATATATATATATATATATATATATATATACATACAAAATACATAAACAATTAGATTCAAGTTGCCTTATTTGAATTTCGTTAGCACTGAATAGAAAAACATTTGCTTATAATTCCAAATTTAAGCAGAGAAGAGAAAATATGAAATATAAAATCTGAAAAAAATGCAAAAACTGCAAATACGTATTTTATATATAAATATATAAATATAAATAAATATTTATTATATGTATATATAAATATATATATTTGTATGTTTTTTATTGAAAGCAGCAGCAAAATGTAAATAATAAAAAATAAAATAAAAAATAATATGAAATATGTAATTAATAATTAATTTGATGGCCTGTTAAATTTCGATCGCTTCATTCACTAGTGTTTAGCTCTTAATTACGTAGCCAAGTAGAGATTATCATTATTATGATTATTATTATATTATTATTATGATTAGATGAAAAACTGAACAAAAACAGAAACAAAAACAAAAAAAGAAAAGAATAGAAAAACAAAAAAAACTTAGCTGAAAATCGGTGCTTTTGACTGTTTCCATTTGTCCACATTTACATTTACAATTGTATTTGTATTATGAAACACAATAATTATTACCATTAACTTAAGTACCATAATATATACACACATTTATATAAATACCTATATACATAGAGATATTAGAACACATACATAGCCTAATAATATAGCAAACATACTATATCATACAACTTCTCTAAAAAAATCTTCAACTTACTTTTGCGCCTTAACGAAAATCAATTTCAACAACTCCAGTTTTCCCCAAAAAAAAAAGAAAAAAGAAAATTAAAAAATTATATGAATTATTCGTAACTTTACCAAAATTAGCAAAAAACAAAAACAAAAACGCTCTCAATTAGTCTTCGGTTTTGTCTCTATGTCTAAGTTTAAGTAAAGCAAATTGCTTAGTTAATTGTCTGATTAATCTAATGAAAAACTAATATCTAAGCTTATAATATTAATGAGGCTGACTAGCGTTAAGTCTAAATCTAATTAGTATGTAATACAAATACCTGTACATTATATATAGCTAAATAACAGCTTAACATTGTAAGAAAAAACACCAACAATTCGTAACTCTTAAGTATTTTTCGTGTACGCGCGCGCTGGGAGCGCATGCGGCGTATGCGTAATATTTGAATGTGAAACGATAAATCGTTTCGATTTGCCACACGCCCGTGCGCTCGCCTTGTAAAGTTCTTAATCCGGACTTATTATTATCTGTCCGGCCTAAGTGGCAACAGCGCGTGTTTGACCCGCTAATTGAGACTAAGACTATGCAAAATTCATTTTTTTGTATTTTTGTATTCGATACAAAGACGCAAAGCCGTTGAAAAAGTTAAAGTACGGAGCTAGCTATAATTGTAGCGCTAAGTTTACTAAGCATATGCAATATTTATATAGTATATATACATATATATACGCATTATCTAACTCTATTGATAAAGTATTGAGTGGGAGACCTACATACATGGAAAATATAAAAGAAGATAATCAAAATTATAAAAAAAAAAACACAAAATTGTTTATTTTTCATTTTTAAACTTTTGGTTTTTGACTTTCGAACTTACCTTTTTTCTCTTTTGTTTTCTATTTTTTGTGAGTTGGTTGTGAGATGATTATTTACCCTTTGTGCAATACTCAAATATTAAATATGCTTTTGGAACTCATTTCGATTTGACCCTGAGTTAGAGTTAAAAAAAAACAAAATATATAATCAAATAATAATGAAAAAAATAATACTTTCCTATTCGTGAGACTGAGACTGAATGAATTACTATATATATATATATATATATATACAATACTCTTTAACTTGTAGTGTTTTGGCACTACAACAACAGCAGCAAATACAACAACAAATAATAAATAACTTTAGCATTGATTTGCCGGCCGCAATTTCGATATTTTACAACAAATGAAAACTTTTGCTAAAACATATTTTACAAAACGATAAAGGAAAATAGTTTTTCATACAATAGCATTTGGTTTATTGAAGCATTGTAACATATACCTATTCTTTGTATAAATATATATACATATGAACTATATTATATATATATATATATTTGTAATAGCACACGTTTGTAGTGTTAGAGAGCTAGAGAGGAAGAGGGGGAGAGCTATAGAGAGCTATACTAACTACGCCCTTGATGAGGATGCAAATTGTACAGTTATTTTGAAATCTGTTTCAGGATTCAAAACACAAAAACAAAAAAGTGACGACAACACGTAAATTTAAATGGAGAATAAATGACTGCTTCTTAGTGTTATAAGTGACTCTGATTTAGGTCAACACACACAAAAACAAAAACAAAAAAATTATTGATGAAAATCAATTATAGAAATCAAATCCAAATATATTGCATTATATATTCGATAAGTAATTATATGTATGTCAACTTTTATTGCAAATCAATATATATATACAACATATATATATATATATTTCCATATGTATCTGTATCTGTCTCTGTATATTTATCTAATTACGTATATAGTGCATGTAGAGCCTTTGTTATTATTCATATTTATATTGGTATACACACACTTATATATATCTATATATATATATAATATTTAATTGAAAATTGTTTTTTGTGTCCACAAATGTACAAAATTGGTTCTCATACACAATTAAAAAACGCAGCGAATTTCATTTGCAATCATCAGTAAAGAAACAAATTGCAATTAAAACCTTAAATTAGTGAACGTATTTTGTTGAATCCATTTAAAATTGTTAGCGATATGTCTCTGTCATTCACCTTTTATGCCACAATAACAGAAAGAAAATTAAAAAAAAATAACAAACAAGAATGAAAGAAAGCAAAAATAAATATGAATCCATAATTGACTATATACATACATATGTATTGCGAATTATATGCGTAAATCTAAAGCAAAAGGAACACAAAACAAAATGCAATTATAAAATTATTTGAACGCAACTTAAATTCCTATTAATTATATAAAAATATCTCTAAAATATATCTAAATGAAAACCAACAATTAATACAACGTACGATGAAAAGACATAAATAAAAACAAAATATTTCATACTAACAAAAGTATTATTCATTCTTAACCCATTTTTTTAGCGCAAAGAAATGATCTCAAAAATTGAATTAATATTAATTATTTGACATTTCGAAATCCACTCTCGCTTGTTCGGCTGCCCCAAATAAGGTTTAAAATTTGACTTTAAAGTGTGGCATACTTTTAGGAGCCCTCATTTAAATAGATTTAATTTGCTTAACTATTTCTTTTGACTTACCCCAGTTAACTATACATTAAACTCGCCAAATATTGATTTCGTAATCAGAAATATTGAAGCCATTTTAATTCAAGAGAAAGCAAACATCGCCTTTAGTTGGCTCTTAATGCTACGTTCGATTTTATATACAGCAGTTTCATAATTCAGAACTAGATGTCAATCGTAGTTGGCTCTAGCTTCCTTTAGGTCGAGGCGCTGTCAATGCAAAATGGAAACATCAATCACGTGTCAATCAAGAGGGAAAGTGGGATACTTGAACGGTTATTGTGGACTCTAATAATAAGCAGGCCTCCTGCTGAACATGCAAATTGTGTGCGCTCTCGCATAAAAAAGGACACCGACAACAACAGCATCATAAAAAGGGAACAAAAAATAGAAATGGAAAATAATAAAGAGATTGGCGATAATCACACACAGCACCGAGAGCCGACATGAGGTGCCAGCCGGGTCAAACGCGTGCAGCCTCCCCTGCCTTCGCTCCAGTTGCAACCACTTTGCATGCTGCAACTTGCAGTTTTCTGTGCATTTTCTGATTGCGATTTTGCATAGAGTTTTCAGCTCGCATTTTCCGCATTTTCCACATTTTTGTTTGGCAGCATTTTTATAGACTTAAAGCGGATTATTTTCAGCGCATTGTGTACGCGTGGCCTTTGTGTCTGTGTGTATGTGGATGTGTATGTCCGGAAATGCATGTCCGATCAGGCAGGGGTCCAAAAGGCCGGACAATGGCTGCACGTCCTGCAATTGCATTCATGATGTGCGGCTGCCTTGTTAATCCTGTTCCAATTATGCGCATGTGAGTGCTTCGTATACCCTAATGGGCACTTTCCCTTTCAGCCATTGTGTCCGCAGGCGTCCAGCCTATTGGACATAGAGAGAGAAAGAATCTCGGGCACAAGCCAAAGGACTCTGCTGTCGGCAAAATATTGATTACACAGCCCCTTTGAGGCAAGGACTGTTTCATTTTTTGCTACTCTGATTCTGTTTTGTGCTGTTTGTTTATTGTGTTGCTTGCATTTATTAAAGATAAAAATCAAACTGACCCAAGCCTGACCTCGCAGCAGCCAGTTGAGGGCAAAGTCCTGCGCCCATTTCATATATTTTTTATATGGAAGTACGTAATAATGAAAGATATATTTAAAGAAACTCATAAATATAAAACATATTGAGTAAGCTGAAAGCTTAATGATTTTGAAAGGGAATCAAAAAATGTTGCTTTTATTGGATGCATTTCTGGTTGCTTAATTTCTTAATCTTATTGTGAACAGTTCTTTTATATATCTATTTTTTTTGTATATATTTATTTATATACAATGTCATATATATGAATACTTCCTATCCTTTTATAAAAACTTTGTAAAATCCGCCATTCTACTTTGAAATTAAAGCAATCCATGAACATGCATGGACCACTCCATCTCAAGCACTTTTCAGCCACATTTTTCTTTTGCACACATAATTATATATCATATATCTATGTACACGCATATATAACATTTCTGTGTTTCGTTTCACGTAGCGTAAATCTGTGCTATAAACCCTCGCATCCTCTCACCCTCGGCAACCGCCCTTTGCTGTGCTGTCATCAAACATTTTGTGGCATTGGCCGACGATTTGCCATGCCACATAGCACGGCCAACACCGTGGCACGTGCCATGATAAATTGCAACCATGCCCGAGCCCCGGCAGAAGACATTCGCAAAATGTTGCACAATAATGCCACGCATTGCTGCAGGAGGGTAAAAATGCGTTGCCACGCGACATAAGCAATTTGTGTGCATAATCTGCAGCAATTCCGCTTTTCGGGGTGGCTCAGCGACCAATGTGGTGTGCGTGCCGCTTTTTTGTGCACTTTTTTATGCAATTTTTTGTGCCACCAATCAGAGTTCTGAATGTTTTTTATGCCCTCAGCCTATCAGAAGGCAGACTAGGCAATAAACTGCCGTAGAACAGTCGCTGCGTATAACAGTCTAGCAGACCGAATGACAAATTGATCGAAAGATATATGTCACGCATAGCGAACGTGCACCACAAAATATTTATCTAAAACGCAGATAACCAGCAAATAGCAATTAAAATGCTCAGAGAGCATGCTCTCTTCTTGCGCTCTCCCGCTATTCCGCGCTCTCTCCCTCTCTTTTGCTTGCTCGCTCAGTGAGCGATCGCTACGTATCTGTCAGCTACGCTTACGTTGTTACGTTCAATGCTCAACACGTCGCGACTCAAATGTTTTTCCACACTCACACTCATACAGCAGCATACACGCACTATTGCTATTGCTGTCCCGCTCGCACACGCGCGCACGCACACACACCATGTGCGTCGTGGCCGTGTTTGAATATTGTTTTTGAAGATACAGCTACAATTTTGGGTTGTCTCTTGCGCGCTGCACGTATGTGCGTATGCGTGTGTGTACATGTGTGTGTGTGTGGTTCAGGCACTGTGGCCTTCCTAGAAATAGTAAAACGCAACTCAGAGTTCAGTGTGACGAAGTGCGTCGTGCGCAGCGGCAGCGTTTTTCAATCGACTTCGTTTTCCGGGTTTCGTTTCCAATACGTTTCTGCTCTGTGTGTGCGCGTGTGTATCTGTGACTGCATCTATGTGTGCGTTGTGTGTATATTTAAGTACTGAATAGTGTAGCCAGCAGGAACATGCTGCAGTTGACATACACTCACGAGCAATACTGAGAAATAAGAATCCCAAAACAAAACTTAACTCTTTGAAATCAGCATGGAAAATCCCAATTTCAACAGTGAGGCAGCGGCAGCGGCAGCAGCAGCAGCGGCGTCTGAAGGCGCCAGGAGCAGCGCCTCGCCAGGTATTATTTACAGTCCCCCCTCCTCTCTCCCGCTCCAATTGACAAAAGCAGAGCGTATCCAAAAACTGGAGGCCACAGTAAAACTAGTTTCGCTTTTGTTTATGTGGCTGTTGCTCCATAAAAGCAAAAAACAAAAACAAACACGAAATCTTATCAAACTCAACGCTGATTGGCCACACGGCGATCGCTGCGTTGTTTTGCTTGACTTTTTGTTTTGCTATGTACTACGCAGTTCTTTATATTTGTTTTCCGCATTCTGTTTTGCTTTCGCCATTCGACTTTTTTATTGGCAAGCCATTTTTTATGCCCCTCTATATACATGAACTCGGTATATGGGCGAACATTGATCAACCCTCAAAGTGATTGCAAATCGAAACACTTTCACTCCCCCCACCCTAAACTGCATGTGCAGAAACCGCCCTCTCACCCTACTCCAGAACCCTAGAACTCCATTTCTGGCATTTGGTCAATATTTTATACATATTTCCCAGGCATTTCTGTCGGCTTACACATTTTGCTTGACTGCATTTTTCAAATATTTCTATCTCGTTTATTTCCAATTGACAAGTTTTTAGTTCTGCCTAAGTTACAAAACAAGTTTTCGTCTTACAAAATTGTTGTAAGTAATTTTGGGCTCTTCTTTTTTATAGTCGAGTGAATCGCCTAGAAAATTAAGCGCTAATAGAGAAATAGACGCGTTTTCCCGCACGCCCGAAAGTCGCTCAGGCATGCGGTGGTTGTTTTTAGCTAGAGAACTTGCATATATTTTTAAACTAATTGAGAGATTTTACAATGGAAAAGCAAGGGGCATAGATGCTTGAGATGTGTCACACAAATCTTCGGGGAGTAATTAAACGTTTTAGTGGGAAAAGCATAAAAATAAAGTTTGGAATGACAGAGAAAGAATCTACAAAATATTGCGAATATATTTGACTTACATAGAAAACTAGTTTACAGCTCAAACTTTGATATATCTCGAGACAGCAAGGTATAGCAATCTAGTTTATGCAAGTTTTTCAAATTCACAATCAGAATCGATAAGCAGCTTCAAAGATCGTCATAAATCTTCATAAAATACTCGAAGAACTCCATATATCATATCATATAATCAATTCGAATGAAAACCTTATTAATCTAACCCTCTCTAATTGAATTTTCCAACAAACCAGCAATTGTTGCATTAAGACAATGAGAAACTCTTGAGGTTCGACAGCAACAACCCTCAAGAAAAACGCACTTTTCATAGCCTTTGTATATAGGCTTTTCAGATAAGGGCTATCAGCAAACTGGGAATGCAGTGCAGTGTATCTATGTATCTGTGAGATTGTCAAAACGCAGCCCGACAGATAAGCAGCCAAATATGGAACGCAATCGAAATATCATATTATGAATGAACGCAGCAAATGAATGAAATACACTCGACTCGGAGTGTGTGTGTGTGCAACAGAGACTGTGTCTGTGTGCATGTTTCTAGATGAAACACACACATGGCATAGATAGAGAAATACTCATACAAATAAATTTGGTATAGCAACCAACTCCCAAGCAATTCAATTCAATCCAATCGCTTTATTCCGCTCCAGCTTATTTACACTCTCGAAAAATGAAAAAATATTTCTAATGAAAACAGCCGAAACCTGTTTTTTCTAATTGTTGTTGTGGCTCTGTTAGAGTTTTTGCTTTTTGGTCGTCTTGAGCATTGCCTTGCGGCAAATGGGACAAGGACACGGTTAGGCATTTAAGAAGTTCAGCTGCCGCTGCCGCTGCCGCTGCTATTGCTAGCTCCGGCTCATTTGAATAACAAAACAATTGCAGCAAATACCCAGGCAGGATATACAGGACAACGATGTCGCTGCCATTTACTCAAATACTTTTTACAATTCTCTTGCAGCGACGCCTGGTGAGGAATGCGGCTGCGTGCGTCTAGGTAAATGCAAATGGTTTAATGTGGCCAAGGGCTGGGGCTTCCTAACGCCCAACGATGGCGGCCAGGAAGTTTTTGTGCATCAGGTGGGTAACACACACACACTTCCTTACATTTCAATGTCACTCAATCGTTGTCGTCACACAGAGTGTCATACAAATGTCCGGCTTTCGTTCGCTGGGCGAACAGGAGGAGGTGGAGTTTGAGTGCCAGCGTACAGCGCGCGGCCTGGAGGCGACACGTGTTTCGGGACGGCAAGGCGATGATTGTCACGGTAGCACCTATCGGCCACGCATGTAAGTGGCATTCAGCCAAAGAACGGGAAGTAACGCATATCTAAATCATATTCAACTCAACTCTGCAGCAATAGAAAAACTCGCCGCATGCGCTGCTACAATTGCGGCGAATTCGCCAATCACATTGCCTCGGAGTGTGCGATAGGGCCGCAGCCGAAGCGCTGCCATCGCTGTCGCAGCGAGGACCATCTGCACGCCGATTGCCCGCATCGCAACGCCAGCGTGGTGAGTTCTCGCAAATACACCACACCCACAGCGAGTTGTTGGTTAGTACACTTCACACTTTCCACAGACACAAACCAGCCGGCGAAGCAAAAGCGCTGCCAACGATGAGGAAGCTGAAGCAGCTGCTGTCGCCGAGGCGACTCCCTAGCAGTAACGATGGGGTCACATTTGAAGTTGAAAACTTTTAAAAACTATCTACACCTACCAACGAAACGTACAAAACGCATGGAATCAAAGAAATACCTCACGTACAACCAAGAACTAAGCATAAGTGCAGTCATTTTGGTATGCAAAACTAGACTTAAGGCGACGCAGTAGCTGCAACTGCATTCTTACTATATATTTATAATTTACATTTACTGCGTAGAATGCTACAAAATAAACTAAAGGCCATTTAATGATTAGTTTTAAGCATATAAATTTAGATTTTTAGAGTTTTAGAAAGCTTAAAGTCTGGCAGGTAATATGATGGTACAAAAAATTAAAACATATCACAATATGTTTAAAATTTTATTTGTCACAAAACAATTGCAAATTTAAATTAAAGTCTAATGAGAAATATAGGGTTAAAAAAAAAACTATTTATCTATTTTTTTTCTTTATATTTTTGGCAATTTTTACTATATTTACTTTCTATAGCTTTACGATATAATTTAACATTTTATTGACTCGAAATGTAAAAAGCTTTGCTTTGAGAGCCTCCAATCTCAGCATCCCTCACGCACACGCACACAGAGATAGTACACACACCCTTGGGGTTAGCTGTGATAAGAAAGCTCTTGGCCAGTCACGTGCTGGGCAATAATAACAGTGAAGCTTTTTGGGGCCTGGCAGAAGCAACAAAACTAACAACAACAACAAAGAAAACGCAGAATCATTGTAACACATTGGGCATTGAGCTTCAACCCCGTCGCTTGCAACTGGGAAAGTGAAATAGTGGCCGAGGCGATTGGAGGCAGCCACAGCAGCAGCAGCATGAAGCAACAACAATGTGAATATTGTGCGAGGACACGCACGCGAGAGGTGAAAGTTGCGCTCTTTCTCTCATGCCGATGTCTCTCTGGGCGAGGGCGAAATATCCCTTCGGCTGTTTTTGTCGCGGTTTGTGATTCAAATTTTTAGCCTAACCGTTGTTGCTGCTGTTGTTGTTGGGGCTGCTGCTCCCGTTGTTGCCCAACATCATTTTTGCAACATTGTTCGCTTCTCTTTTTGGCGCGTGGCATGCCACGAATAGCAACGCGGATGAGGATGATGTGCTCGGCTCTGGCGAGGCTAGGGGCACACTCCAGAAGGATGCAACTGCCTTGGCGCAAGGACGCAGCACAGCGAGCCCAATGCCTAGCCTCAGTTTCGGGCTCAGTCTCAGTTTATCTCTGCCAGAGAATTGTTGTGTGCAACGCGGCGGATTTAAAAAAACATAACAGCAATAAATACAAACACAAAACTAAAAAAATCAAATAATTTACAATAAAAAAAATACAAAATTAGAAAGAAAGAAAAAAAAAACAATAATTAAACAACAAGAATTTTAACCAAAGTTAACAAAGCGTTTCAGCAACAAAACAAAAACAAAAACAACAAAAATTCTAACAACATTTGTAACACATTTTTTGCATAAACTTTAACAATATAAATAAAAGTAAGACAATAAGCAATATAATCATTTTTTTATGAATATATAAAACAAAACGGAAGCCACAACAGAGGAAGAAAACAATTTGAAATGACATAAAAGATATTAGTTCAAGGTTGCGAAAATTTATTTTGAGTTTTTTATACAAAAGAAATTTTCAATTCTGTTTTTGTACAACGAAATAAGCAAATGAAACAAGCCAAATGTAAGTGAACTGTGTGTGTGAGTGTGCTGCGTGTGTGAGTGTGTGTGCGTGTGTTTGTAAAGGCATCAACAACAAACAAAATGAGGCAGCGAAACACGAAAAAGGAAGCTTAAAAAAAGGCAAACAAATGCAGTTCAATTCACAATAACAAAAGCAAAACAGCAATAACAACACACACAGACGCTTACACATACAGCACCACACAGAGACACACATTTACATGTCGCTCTCGCTGTTAAGGCAGCGCCTGTTATGTAATATCCTGTTTCTGAAGCTGTCGCTTGTCATGTTACAAGTCCAGCCAGGCAAATGGGTAGCAGCAGTAGCTATATCTATGTGTGTGTGTGTGTATGTGGGGGTGTGGCATGCACCTTAGGTGTGCTACCGCTGCTGCTGCTGCTAAAATGATTTATACACTTTGGAAACGCTCCATGGGCACGGCATTGAGACATTAACACGAAGGACGAACCATCCTTTAAATACACCTAATAGGGACACATTCGCACATAGAATATATATTTATAGCTTGCCGTTATAATGGGGCGTGGATTTTGATTCGTGTGTGCGTGTCGCTGTGTCTGTGTGTGTGTGTGCTAAGCATGCAAATATGTGACACTAATTCGATGAGCAAAATGCTAATATTACGCATACGCCGCATTGGTCGAAGGTCGTCTTCTATTTTACGTCTATCTGTTTGGTTTTTGGGCTTTTTTGCTGGCTGGGCCAGCGCCTAATTAATGAAATGTGTGTCATAATGCGACAGGCAGTTAGTAGGTCAAGTGGATTCCATGTTGAGGTTGAGGGCCAAAAACTCTTTCGCATCCAAAAAAGCCCTTGGCCAAAAGAGAACAAACCAACCTGCCCCCGTCCCCCTCCATCAACCACAATTTTCAAAGAGTAAAAAAGTAAAAAACGAGTAAATGCGACGATGTTGCGCGTAAAGTAAATAAATAGATGGGCGTTTTCTAGCCAAGTCGAACTACGTAGTCATACATTAGCTTTTAAATGGGCGCAGCTCATTTTGAATTAGCTGTCAGGCTCAAGGTATAATAAATACAGAACTGCTACTGAAATAAGAAATAGATTTTAGGCGCCTGCAACTCGACCTTTTTTCACAATAATTTACATGTTATTTCATTAAAAAAAAAAAAAAAACAAATTATTCACTTTATAAATCTAATTGTTTGTGTGATTGCTCTTAGATTTTAAGCAGTCTCTATCTAACTGTCAACGCACCTCACCTTTTCACTTTCTAATTTTATTCCTTAAACTCACAAATTATAAGAAATATTCTTTAAAATTTTGCACAGGCGTTTTACATATATATAAAAAAGAAAACTGTGGCATGCTTCAAATGGCAGTACTAAATAATCAAATACTAAACGGTGAATGTTCCAATAAGCTAAACTAAAGTTTGTACAAAGTAAAACAAATGTCTAAGTTCAACTGAAAACCTCACAAAATCCCCAAACAAAAGAAAAACAAAGCAAAAAACAGTTCCAGTGCTCAAACGACACAAATATTTAATAACTCAAAACAAAGCCAACTTCAGTAAACTTCTTCACACTCAATTTGCACGCCAACAAGGTAAGTAAAGGGCACAATTTTGATCCATCTATATGTTATTTGATATCTTATACGATTCTATGTGTTGTGTTTGATCTTTTATGCAACATTTTCAAGCACGTTTAACTTGCAAACTTAGGGCTAGTTATTTAATACACAAGTGAGATACTTAAAACTAAATCTAAGTCTTAAATTTTTAATGCAAGTCGACTAGCAGCTGTGCTATTTCCTTACTTACATCATCTGAATATAGAATGTTGATGTTGAATGTTTGATTTTGGCTAAGCATTACTCTCTACAGCTTTATACTAGCTCTATTTGTGAGTTATCGAACCACTAAGTTTCAGGCGAAACAGAAGGGAGTAGATTGTGCTACTTCATTACATACTAAATCTAAACACATAAGGTTTTGTGGAAGAGTTCAACTCAATATCAAAATGACCCCTTCATATGCCTTTCTTTATCCCAATATCCTCATCTCTATATACGATTTATCTAAAAAGGTAGCTCCTGCACGGCTAAATTCCAGACCGGTAAGCCTCGACATACGTAGACACAACAGTTGTAGATTTTAGGCTCCACTTTGCCCATCTGCACGTTGGCCAAAATTGCGCATAGGCTGCCCATTTGATAGTTCGGTTGCTGTTCCAGTGTCTCGTTGTTCCCTTTCAGGGCTGCTGCGAAGGATTTCTAATGAGCGTGAATCTATGCAGAATTTAAAGTTTTACCTTTGACAGTGCCCTGCGAGACCCACGCCTGACGATCAATATTTGTCCAGGGTATAATCTGTTGCTTCGACGGTGTTGTCCACTGGCTCAGTATATTGGCGGACACATTATCCATATTGCCATCAAGAGCGGGCATCAATGTGCCCACTACAGTGGGACATTGGGCGCCGTGGTAATAGTCCTGTGCTCCGTATAAAGCGCTGTACAGACCCGAGCTCAACACGCGTGTCGAGTCGCAACCAAAAAGAAAGACGACACCCTTGATACGATTGCGATAAATCAAGCGACTGGAAACATATTGCAGGCTCGAACCGTGACCCGCATAGCTGAAAGAAAACACTGTATCATTCGTTTACCAGGAGGTGTGTCAGGTTTTACCTACACAAAACAATCGGCCTTGAAAGCCTTTTCAATCATAAACTGCTCTGTGGGCACCGTCTCGAACATATGCTGCCAATGGCCTAGCCAGTATTCGAGGAAGCTGCGCAGACGGCGACCTGAATTGGCCAGATCAGCATCAGGATTGATGAGCGTTATGCCACGCTTTATATTAACCATATAGTAGCCGTGCTGAATCTGTGACTTGTGACACTTGAACAGGCGCCACAAACTGTGCAGTGATTTGATACGCGTGCACTCCTGCATGGGTGCCAACTGCTCCCAGTGCATATGATCCAGGCGCTAAAACAGAATATACATTAGCAGTAAAAAATTTGACTAAGATGTTTAACTTGCCTCGTCTACCACCAGAATAATGGGAAAGCGTTTAGCCGCCAGCGGTTGACGCTGTTCCAGCTTCTCCCATTTACTGGCACAGCTCTTGAGCAGCTCATAGACGAGCAGTGCTTCAGTCTCATTGTAATTATTGTTGTTGTTATTGAGTTCATAGCTAAGCTGTTTCATCTGGTCATGGGGCAAACGATTCGCATGCAATGCCGCCTGTGAAAGCAGTATACGCTGATGATTGCTCCAGCTGTGCTCAACACAGAACTCATCAACGTGATCATACATCAATTTTGTTTGCTGCTGCACTGCAGCATCGGAATAACGCTTGCCCAGAAACATAAAGCAATACGGCTTCAAAACGCTGGTCAGCTCAGAAATCAGCTTCTGCAAGGTGTATAAATTTGTAACTATAATCTTGTAGATATAATATATGTCTCACGAACCTTTAGGTACTCTTCAAAGGCATTCAGTTCTTTCCAGTACTTGGCCTTGGCTGCCTGATCCTTTACCGTCAGCGGATCGACTGTTACTACCCGTCTAAAACGCTCTACCAAAGTGCCGTATTCCTGAAATAGGCTGACCAATGCATCGTTATTGAAGTGCAGGCAAGTGGGTTCCAGCTCCGGACTGCGACAGTGTCGCAGGAGAGAGATATATATGTCACCATTGGCTCCAGCGATCTCACAAAATGTGGAGTAAGTAGTTGCCGCATTGAAGCTCTTGCACAGCTGCAGCACGCACCATTCCTCCGGCAGTTGTTGACAGACGTTTGAGATGCGCGCATACCCTGTCTTTGGATCCTTTGCATCCTCCAGGAAGTCCAGGCTATCGACGACTGCGTTTGGTGGCTTTGCCGTCTGCTGCTCTAGTTTCAATTGATGTTGCAAGATGTTTTGCAGAAATTTATTGCTGTATAAAGTAGAGGGAAGCTTACTTATTAGTACATACAGTATTTTAAATTATAAAATACTATATTTAGCATTTAATACACACTGCACCACCTTTTGTAGTCGGCTTTCTCCCTGCGAGTCGCTTCCAACAATATTTCAGACGCGTTTGGTTGCTGGTTTTCCAGGTCCTGAGCCTCGGTTAGGAGTCGCATATCTGCACACTGGAACAGTGCTCGAACTTGATAATAAATTGAGTCCTTTTCGTTGCCATTGCGATATTCCTCGTCCGCACGCAATAAATTATATTCTGAAAAAGACGGGCTCAACACAATTAAATACTGATTGAATACTATATAATTTGCCTACCTTTTGTTTCGGGTCCAACCTGCACACTTGTTAAGCAACGCAATTCCTTTTCCGTTGCTTCGGCATCAAACATTTTGTGTAAAAATTATTGCAATTTAAATTGTTTAATTCGAAAAACGGCGCCGTCTGCCACTGCTTTTGCATGCCACAAGTTGTTGTTGTTTTTACGGTTTGCATGCTGCAGTGTTAGCAGTGGCGTAAAACCTGCATTTCGCAGCACTGCAAACATCGATAGACACACGCAGCAACGCTGTAGTACTCATTATATCGATAGTAGTGGTAATTTTTAGTACATTCGTGCCCATTGAGCGGTAAACTTGAAAATTGCAAGGTAACGAAAAATAAAAGGTAGTTCTTTATATATATTATAATAACTATAAATTTGTGGGCTGAAAGTAAAAAAAAAACAAAATAATACTTTTATTTGTGTGTTCTTTTCAGTAACATTGTTGCAAAGCACGTGTCGCAGTGCAGCGCTTACAGCGCAAAAGCTCTGCTCCTGCCATCCTTGTTGTTGCTGACGCGTATTCATTCATAAAAACACAGCAACACGAAAGTTCGCGTAACGAAGCGTTGGCCAAAGCTTTGCGCAGCGGCGCAGATGCCCAAACACCGAACAAACTGTGTCAATCTCGTCTAACACATGTGTTTGCCCGCCTCTGTCTGTGTGTGGATATGTTTGTATGTATGTATGTTGTATGTATGTACATACACTGTACATTATATTGGCACCCCGGTGAACCACACCCTCCAATTGCCCTAAAAAACCTTACGCAACAACAAAGCGACACACATTGGCAATTATTGCAACAACAACAACAACAAAAACTACAAGAGCTTTGACATTTTACAGCAAGGTCCAGCTTCTGACTTTTGTTGTTTGCCTTTTTTATTTTCTTTTTGCTGCTGCCCAGGCGCGCCTTTTTGCTGCTCGCTGCAAGCAGCCGCTGCAGTTTCTAATGACGTGTCTTAAAGAGATAACGACAACAGCAGCTGCAGCAGCAGTAGCGGCGGCATCAGCAGCAGCAGCGACTTTGTGCGTGGGGTGTGCATGTAAGTATGCGTGTGTGTGTGTGGGAATGCGTGTGAAGGTCTGACGTCAGTGAGCCTGGCGCATCCCGTTCGTGTGCCTGTGCCTGTGTGTGTATGTGCGTGCTCCGTTTCTTTTTGTTTTTGTTAGCCGCCGCCCAGCTGCAACTGCAACCTGCAGCTTGAATGCGTTGCTGATTTTGCCCCCACCTGCTGCCACCTGGCACTGAAAGCCGCCCCGTTCAGCGGCATTTTGTTCTCATGGGTGCTTCGGACCGGTCTAAGGTTGTTCAATTATGTATTTATTGGTAAATGAATGCAGTGCTTGGCAGTGGGGGCAATATTATTATTGATGCAGCATCCGTAGCAAATGGAAACAAATTGACAACTTGACGAGGCTTTCGTTAAGTATTGAAAGGACGCCGACGCACTGGGCCGCTCTCGCTCTCCCTCTCTCACACGCTCTCGTCCTCTCTGTTTGTCTTTCTCTGTCTGTCTTGCAATTTGCTTTTGCTACTTTGTGTTTGTTGTGTATTGTTGCGCTGCCGGCGTCGCAGTCGGCGTCGCTGCTGGCCCGTTGGCCGCAGAGCACTCAGCATCCTTTCTACTTATTAATTTTGATGTTGCTTTTCACTTTTACTTTGTGTATGTTAAACGTGCCTCAGTCAGATGCTAACATTTCGTGTGTGGGTGGATATGACTCTGACTCTGACTCTGACGTGTGTCGCTGTGTGTGCGTGAGTGCTTGTCCCATGATAATCATCTGTTGTTATTGCTGCTCTTGTTGTTGTGGTTAGTTAAAATTGCAATAGTTTCGTTGTTGGGGCCATAAAAAGTTGACTTGTTATTTGAAGCGCACGTTCAATCTGTTTGACCAGTGACCATTTGCACCAGAGCACCATTAACCAACCGAGCACTCACCCACAAGAACCACCTGGCAACCCTCTGCATTATTTATGAGCCACAGCCAATGCAAAAAACTTGGCACGTACAAACATTCATGTGCCTGTGCCTGTGTGTGTGTAGAGCTTGAGAGCGGGTTGAGTGCGTCGTCGTACGCCTAGCAAATTATAACATTAATATTACATTAACGCACACCAACGTGCATGTTCACACACACACACACATGCATCGGGGAGACATTAAAACGAAACAGAATGGCAAAAACTTTCATTTGACGTCCTAACAGCAACAACAACGACAGCAACAGCACGCGACATGTAAAATAAATGTAACAAAATGCGTCCGAACACTAAACAGAAGCAGAAAGAAGCAGCAGAAACAGTAGAAACAGCAGAAGAGGCGGCGGCAGCATCAACACAAAAACAACAAAAGGCCGTCAAAAGCAGCAACCGCGGCAGAGGCAGCGGCAGCAGCCACCCTAAAAAATGTGGCACACATTCCAACAGTTGCAGCGATGCCGACGTCGACAGCGACGCGCAGCAGAGATATCGCTGCCAGCTGACGCTGCTGCTGCTGCTGCGGCTCCTGTTCGTTTGTGTTCTGCTCGCAAAGTCAAAGCGATTTTCGAAGTCGACGGTTGTGTGGCTCGCGCTGCTTGCTCCGGTGCTGCTTTCAGAAGCAACTGACAAAACGCTTTTAACACTTAAAAAATATACACCAACACTCACACACACACACCAACATATACACAGACACTTACACACATACACATTCTAGCCAAACTGCAAAAATTGTAAGCGAAAAATCAACAACAGAAGCGAGAGAAGCGTGTGAAAAAGTGTAGCATGCTTTTAGGCAGCGCACAAAAATAACGCCAACGCCAACAGAACTTTAGATTTTGGCCATTGCCAAGAGACGCTGTGCGTAAAGTGTTTAAAAAAATTGACATTTAAGTAAATTAAGGTGTGGTGATTTATGCAACTTTTTAGCCACACGCACGAGCACAGGGCGGCGACAGAGACATACATAAGCGGGCTGAAGGGGGACAGAGTGGAGAGCAGCAGTAGCAGTAGCAGCAGCAGCAGCCAACGACTGCACATACCTCTAAGCTAAGGCACACACACACACGAAGAGCGGAGGCATACAAAATAAAGGATAACGACGAACGAACGATGAAAAAGCAAGAAAGAAATCGAAATTAAAATATATGTTGTACAACAACAGCAACAGAGCAGGCAATTTTCGGCTGTCGCTGTAATTCGAAGCTCATCTGCGCTGCTTTGCTCTCTGCTACTGCGACGGCGGCTGCTGTATGCTTGCCGCTGCCTGCTGCCTGTTCTCTGCTTTCTCTCTCTCGCTCCTTTTCTCTCTCTGTGCTTCGTCAAGTGAAAACATTTCGTTTCGTCAAGTTTTGTAGGTATTTTGGCAAACCAGAAGCTATAGCAGCTACACACACAAATCCACAGAGCGACGACATGTCCTCATCATCTGCTATTGCTGCCGCTGCTGCTCCTGCCTGGCCACAGTGAATAAAAAACTAAATAAATATTAATAAAAATAGTTGAAAAAACACTTACAGCACGACAATTCAAGTACATAAATAAATAATAAACAAACAAAACACACACACTAGCGCACAAGGAATTGCAGACAACTAAAAAAAAGAAACGAACAATTTTTTTGTGTGTGTTTTTTGCGAATAGGCAAAAGGCGTTGCCAAATCAAAAGCAGCAGCAGCACACAGATTGTTGCTACGAAGAATAAATATTGAAATTTATATTAAATGAATCATAACTTAAACAAAACAGGCACAAAGTAACTATTATAAATATTTATAACTGCGAAGCGCAAGAAAACTGCAAGCAAATAAATTATTCATACGCACCGTTAAACAAAAGCAAAAGCAAAAGCAAACGCACCATAAGTGAAATTTTCAAGTGACATTGTGAAAGGCAGCCACATTCCAGGCTGCATTAATAAAACATACAACAATCATATAGCATATAGGATACAAAGGATAAAAGGAGTCGGCACAGGAGGTGCTCTGCCTGTTCTATTATTTAACTGCTTACAACAGACGTTTTCAACTGGACGAAAGCTGATTGAAAGCCGCTTTCAACAACAGCATCCGTCGTTCACTAATACTAAAAGAGCGCACAAAACAGTGAGAGAGAGACAACGTGTTGGCGTATGCCTGTGGGTGTGTGTGTGCGTGACAGTAGCAGCGACGTCAACGTCAATCCGCTCAATATTTATATTGCACGAGACCAATTCACGATTCACGCTCAAACTCAAACTGCTGACAACTCAGACGCAGACGCCACCAGAGGTCCTGGGTATCAGAGTGTGGCTTTGGTTCATCTGGTGCCTGGTCCAGCCGCAGCACCAAAATAAATAACATCTGACAGCTGCTGCTTGTCGCCTGCTCCAGCTACAGCTACTGCGCCCACACCAGCTCGCGTCGAGTCAAGTCGATTCGAGTCTCCAGTGCAAAATTCGCACAGGCCTAAGCAATACACACAAGATAAACAAGCTACAGCTGTAACTGCAATCTACTACAATCAAGCACAACAAACTAGCAATAACGGGATAAACACACGAAAATAAACAACTAAAAAACACGCAATGGGTGCCAAGGAAAGTGTCGAGGCAGCCGTCAAAATGAATGCCGATGGCTGGGGCCACGTGGAGGTGTGTATACAAAACAATAACTATAATAATAACAACAACATTAACATTTTTATAACCCCATCAGTTGTCAATGATAAAGTATATATATATAACTGTTTATTGTGATTTTATACATTTGCGCTGATTCTTCCTACTCGTTTCTTAGTTTTCAGAAAATGAGTTTTTAAAGAAGTTCAGAGTTTATTATTCTTAGCTGAAACTTATCTGAATAGAAAAAGCAGTTGGGTCTTATATCTAAATTCATATTTAAGGTCTTAATAATTTCCTTTTAATGTAAATTCAGTTTTCTTTTTTTGGCACTTTTTTAAAGCTGCAGCAATTTTTAAGATATATAAAACTAAAATATATTTTTCATTTTCAATTTTGAATTTTGAATTTTAAATTATTTGCCACAATTTCACTTATTTATTTTTGAAATTTTTTTTAAATTAATACGTAGAATATATTTTTTTTTTTGGTTTCTGGCTAAATTATTCAAATCCGAAAACAATTCTATTAGTAAAGCTATCAAAGTCCATACTCCCCAACTTCAAGCCTTCTTATTTATTTTTTTATTTTTATCATATTTCCTATTTTATACGTTACGTCTCTGCTAACAGCTAGAGACAGCTGGATCCCTTTAGATCGTCTGTCTGCTCTAGCATATATTCATTTTAAACAGTTGTCAGACCAGCTTCTGCCTGTAAGTTGGGGATATCAAATATTTATAGCTAAACTCCCTTGAATCGTATTTTATTAAAAATGTTCTTTACTACTTTTGTAGTGCTGAAATGTTAGAAGTCTTAACCCAACAAGCTTTATATATGTACTCAAACCTTAGTCATCTTTTACTTTATCATGCTGTCAATCGCACTGGCTCCGAGTCCAATTTGTCAATCGTTGAATGGGGAAACGTGTGTGGCAAGTGCAACCCAAAAAATGGGCTGAGCTGTCGCCACATTCACTCCTTATTGCGATTTGATGAGCACACTGCGACAATTGAGATTGAGCGACTGAGCGCTATTTGATTGATTTTAAAAATAAATTTCGATAAAGAAAAAAAGCAAGCAAACACGTGCAGTGTGTGGCATCCACTTGATGGGGCAGCAGCCGCCGCAAGCGGGGCAGACAAATTTTCGTCTGGTTATCGCCCAGATCTCTCTTCAGCTCTTGAGCGCAACAGCAAATGTGCTGTGTGTGGGCGAGCGGGCCAGCTCTTGAGATCGTGTGGAGACAATGAGGCTGCTGCATAAGATTTACAGTTGATGTGGAGAGCTGCTCAACATAGTGAGAGAGCGTGATAGATCGTGAGACTCGAAGAGTCACTCTCGCGTTACGTAGCAGCTGAATGAATGAATGAAAATGCGCTTTGATTTTTCCCTCGATTTGTGTTTAGTTGTTTGGTCGAGTCTGTGGCGTGTATTTCGAATGCTCTTTTGGCACACATTATTTCGATTATTTATATAAACAATAATTAAACGCAACCCATGACCGCAGCCAGGTCGTAAACAGGTGTCTGTTTGTCTCAACCCCAAAGGCTGTAAACAAAAATAGATAACAGCCAAAGATATATATATATATCTGCAAATATATAGTAAACAACAAATGTGGTCAGCAACAGGCTGCAGACAGCCAAAAAATAAAATAAGACACTATTGTATACATATATAGTTCATATATATATATAGTCTTATATTTAAGGTGTAGCTGAAGAATTTTAAAATTAAATTCATATAAATAAGTGCTACAGCAGCGACTTCGTCTAACGTGCAACAGCTGTGTGTGTGCCTAAGTGTGTGCTGGTGTGTGTCAAAGAACATAAAACTCTCCGATCAGATCGAATCATAAACATCTAAATCAAAGCAAAACTTCAAAGCGCTACAAATCATTGAGCTGTATTTTTTTCCGTTTTTGTTTCTTTTAATTTTTGTTGTGATTTGCATTTTTTCTTTCATTTGTTTTTTGTTGACACCTACACGCTAGAGTCGTTGCAGCATGAGGCACGTGGCGGCAGCTGCGGGGGGCGCAGCGTGCATTTCGGTCAGCAATAGCGTTGAACTCGCTGCGTTCGCACCTCGAAAAAACGCGCGACTCGTGTTGGTGATAATAGCCATCGGCTCTAGCCGGCGTGGGTTGTTTCATAGATTGATCAAAGACCTGCCTGGGTGATTAAGTAATAATGTGTGTGCGGGTGTGACAGTGTGTGTGTGTGGCTCAATGCTGTTTAATTTATGCTTCAAGTTTAAATACCTATTTCAAATATGCAATATATCTTGCATTGAAATTCTTCAGTGAATATCAGTGGAGATGTAGCTTAATCAAGCGCACACAAATTTGTTGGAAATGTTATATATTTGTATTTAATGTAGGTAAAAGTTTCTTACAAAGGAATATACACCTGCTGTTCAGATTATTTGTGGTAATGAAAAGACTATGAGTATCTTCACAACAAATATTTTTATGACTTGTCCTTATGCTGAAAGACTATGAGAATAATGCTAACCTAATTTCATTTTTATGGTACATTGGCGTTAGTTTAAACTCATTTTATTAAGGTATTTTTAAGACTAAGATTTTCGTTTAAGAGAACTATCTATGTGTCATATAGTATCAATCTAAGAAGCTCTCAGTTTTGATATGATATTGATCAGAACTTAATTGTTTTTTAATATTAGCCAATCCAAAGAAACTAAACTTAAATTGTGCTTTAAGAAATCTATAAGATATCAAATATCAATATATTTCATAGGATTGTACATCAATTTCTTTAGTTGCAGTCTGCTCCCTACAGCTGTTACCCATAATATTAAATTCTATTTATTATCCCCTCTCTCTCTTACATCTACAGCGCGGCAGTCGCTACCACGGCCATCGGCATAATCAACGTTCGCAGTCGCTAAATCGCGGCCAGGCGCTCTCGCAGGCGGACGTGAGCGGCATGTGGTGACATCGGGGTGCCTCTGGTAAAGGTGAGTCTCTTCTCGACATAGATAGCTTGCTCTGCTCCATTACTGATTCATCTCCATTTAACTCTAAATAGGAGCTGCGGCGGGCTGTGCTAACTGCGCCATGGGCAACAAATTGAGCTGTTCGTGTGCGCCTCTTATGCGCAAGGCTTATCGCTACGAGGATTCACCCTGGCAGAGCTCTCGTCGTCGCGATGGACATCTATTAAGGTGAGTGGGCGTAGCCGCAGTCGCCCCATATCCTTTATACTCTAGTAGTTGACTCTTTTGTTCTCCGACTGGCTGTAAATAAATGTATGGAAAGAACCAAAGCAATAACAACAACAACAAGAACAACAACAACAACCATAACAAACAACTAACTCAAAAACAATTGAATTCGCTGTTTCGATCAACTTTTGTAATTTAACTAATTGTGTTCTTCTTCTGGTTTTCTTTCTTTCAAAAAAACAAAAAAATAATCTAATATGTAAACAAACGAAAACTTTCGACTTTTTGCCTACACTTTCAACAACCAACCAACACACAACCCACACTGCCTAATCTAAATTGTTGGGCGCAACTAAAACTACAACTACAACTACAACAACTACAAATCTGCAACAACTTTTCCTTCCTAAACGACTGCAACTGCAACAACTATAACAACAACTGTCAAACCGTGCTTCCCTACTATGATTTTACTTTCAATTGAACCAATCCTCAAAAATCAAACTTCCTCAACCACAAATTTGCACCAAATTCTCAATTGGATGAACCGAAACCAAAAACGAACAACTTTTGCAATAATCAATTTGTCAACAAACGTTTTATTAACCAACGCCTAGTTCGTTCAGGTTGTGGGCTGAGGTCTTTCACGTATCTGCAAGCGGCGCCGGCACCGTCAAGTGGCAACAAGTGTCTGAAGATTTGGTTCCTGTTAACATTACCTGCATTCAGGACTCGCCCGAGTGCATCTTTCACATCACCGCGTACAACAGCCAGGTGGACAAGATACTCGACGTGCGACTTGTGCAGCCAGGTGAGAAATTTCCACCTCCACACTGTTTACCTTTACTAATTGAAAACGGTATTATCTCTCCCCGTGTGTTTGTGTGTGTGTGTGTGTGTGGTATTTGCAGGCACTCGCATTGGGCAGGCATCAGAATGCTTTGTTTACTGGAAGGATCCAATGACTAACGATACTTGGGGCCTCAACTTCACATCGCCCATCGATGCCAAACAGTTTCGGGAATGCTGTGTAAGTATTCTCTTACAGTTTGTTGCTTAATGCAACGCGACGACGACAAGCAACCACCTCAACTGATACCTCAACCAAAGAACCACCTCAGCCAACAACCACAAATACAAACACTAAAGCAATACACACACACTCCCACACACACACACATACACTATTAACCAGTAACAAGCATTTTGGGCAGTTTCTATGCTGCCACAACAGCTGCCAGAAATGCAAACAACAAGTTGATGATGCTGTGATGATGACCGACCGTGATGAATGTTGAATTAATGATGATGCGGCTGAAGTTCGTTATGCTTTATATATATGTTTCGTGTTCCATAAGCAACCAACTATATAAAAGAGTATTTTTCTAAATTACTGGAAAGCTTCCTTCAACAGCTATAAAGTGTGTAAAATCATTTAAAGTACGCAATAGCTTCAACTCATGCCATGCCATGCCATTAGTCACAGTCAGTATCAGTATCAGTAACCGTATCACAGTCGCTGTCGTAGTCACTGTCGCAGTCACAGTCACAGTCACAGTCACTGTCGCCCAGCACACAACATAGAGATAGACAGACAGACAGACACAGACACAGACACTGACACTGACACAGCCACCGCTCTCTAAACTGCTTAAACAAGAACTGCTCCTGTTAATATACCTGTATAAGTATATATACTATATATATATTCTCGTTCTTAGTTGACCAACATCAGACATATAAATATATATTTTGAATAATCAATAAATTATCGCAAAATTTCGTATAGTACTTGAAAATTCTATTTTGTTTTCGTTTTGTATTGAGATTCTGTTTTCCTCTCGTTTTTCAAATCCATTTTATAAGCAATTTGGACAACAATTATAAAGTAATACATACATATATAGTAGTGCTTAAACCGCTTTTACACCTTGAATTAAATATCAACAAATATACACTAGAAAATGATCAGAGATTGAAAGAGTATGAAAATGAGAGAAATACTGAATATAAAATAAGCATTGTGTAAAGCTAAGCTAACTCGCTTCCATTTCCGATCAATTTCAAAGCCAGACGATCTCTGAACACACACACACACAGACACACAAACACAAACTATTGACCCCCACAACAACAACAACAGCAACATTTGCCACTCACTCATTTAGTCAACATAAACTGTCTGGATTTAGTATCTAATAATTGTTTCGTTTCTTTTCTTACTTTGCGCCTCATTTGTTGCAGGTATCTTACATTGTAAAAAAATACGTTAGTATCGCTTCATATTGTTTATTTGTCACAAACACAGAACTACAAACTCAATACAAACTGCTGCTAACTAAGACTAACTACTTTTAAAATAACTAATTAATAACTTTTTTTTCGAACTATCACAGCAGAGAAAGAAACTCTCTAATGATCAAATCAGTTATATATGTATATATATGTATATATATATATACATATATATATATATAGAGACCAACTCTAAATGTATTTAAATTTTGAAATACCCCCATTCAAGTAGCGCTTCCTTTTGTCAGGCATGTGTAAGAACTCAACCTATCTACATACATACTTGCATACACATGACTTCTACTCTCTCACACACACACACACACTTTCTCTCTTTCTTCACACACACACGCATAACAGTGTCCTTAAGTGTCGTTACTGTTTTATAAGCTTTTCACTTTTATGTGTCTTATCCTCCTACTCTATCGCCAACCAACGCTCTCTGTGTACGCTCACAAGTTTCTCAACCCAGTTTATCACATAACTCGCTATCAGTACACGCATACCATAACAGTTATATGTATTATATACCAGTTAAATACTAGCCAATTGCTGCCCAGTAACAAAACTCATAAGTGTTCAAAGTTCCTATTAATTCTTGTTGTGTGTGTGTGTATTTTGAAAGTTCCAAAGGTTCCAACAACTACTTGTATTTAACTATAGCACACACACGCATACATGGACACTCGTACACAGTGAACCCACACACACACACACACTCTGACGTCACTCACACAGTTACACGCACACCCACTAAAATTTGTTAAATGTATTTATATTATATATTCTTTCATTTCTTTTTCTCTCTTCTAATCATTTTCGAATTCATTCTCGAAACACGCCAAAAATAAAACAAAACAATATATATATATATATATATATATTTGAAAAACAAACTAAATTCGTTTTCAAATCTTTCATTTTTGATGCATTTCATTTGATACTTATGAAACAAATGTCGTACTTGAATTTGAAATGTAACGAAAACATATATGACCAACAAAAACAATATAAATTGAATACTCTACACGCAACAATAACGAAAACAACAACAACAACTACAACCAACAAACAACAAATAACAAAATAACAACAATTTTGAATACATTCTAAATGTACACCTCTTACAAATTTATCTATCAAACTATCTATGAAACTCTGTCCCACCCGAAATGCTTTTATTATCTAACATCAATTTTATTTAACTACTCTCTATCTCTCTTAACTATATATTTATGTATGTATAAATATATATTTTCAACTCGATTCGTTTGCATTTGACACGTGCGCAAAAAAAAAAAACAAAACAAAACTAAATAAATGCAAAAAATAAATGAATATAAATATATGAATATAAATTGAAAATTTGCAAAACAAACATGAAAACATGAATTGCTATGAATTGAATGATAATTGTATCAATATCGAACTGCCAAAACGTACAATGAAAATGCAAAAGAAAAACGCAAAACGCTTTAAAACAATCGCACGTATCCTCTACTACAATACCGTTACCTATCCACTGCAAACCGTTTCCGACGAGCCCTAAGTCCCCAAACTACCACCCAGCCCCAAATAACCCAATCCCCAGCCAAGTGGGCGGTTTAAATACGCAAATGAAATCAAATATCGAAACAACTTTCAAAAACAATGCAAAATTTTTGAATCGTATCAAATGCTAGCAGCGCTAGGCAGTAGAAGAGTGTAGCCAAGTGCTACGTGTGAGAATCGCCCAGAGAGGCGGCGCTCAAGACACAGAAGATAATAAAAACAGTTAACCAGTTAAGTGCAGCCAAGTGCCAAAAGTTAAGGCCAAAGCAAATATATAAAATATATTCTTGAAACGTAGTTTTAAGGTTTCTAAAACCAAAATCAAATCGAAATCAAAAGCAACACGCACAGGCTCACAATAATTGTTCTCGCAGCAAATTAATCAAAAATATCTATATATATATATTTAAAGCTAAGTGTTACAAATTGTTAGGCTAAGTTGAAAGTTCAAATGTTATTCGAAGAAATCAGATCAAATTAGTTTTAAGTGCGCTCAGCGCCCTAATACGCTTCCTCAAGTTTCACTGCGCAGAGATTAGCTCTTTAAAGTAAAGTAAACCCGGCTTAACGAAATGCACTCTTAAGGCTTCACAAACTTAACCAAAATCGTAACTACTAACTAACTAACTAACTAATGCTTGTATGTGTATGTTTGTCTACTTCACTTAACTAACTATTTCTATATCTATATCTAAACTAAATATATATCTCTATATGTACTCAAGGCTTGAGCACTTCTCTAGTTGTACTACTCTATGTAAACTCTATGCACTCTTCTAATAGTTCTCTAAGTCCTATAAATCACACACTAAGCAACTGCAACAGCAACAGCAACAGCTACAGCTACAGCTACGGCTATTTTTCGCCAGGTCGCAACGACTTGAGCCAGTTATGTATAGATCTACAGATCTATATCAATATAGACAGTTAAAGAGAGAAGAA